ATGCCGAAGAAGGATGGGAAGTAGCACATGTGCGTGGATAATAGGGCAATCAATAAAATTTCGGTGCATTACCGTTTTCCTATTCATCACTTGGATGATTTGTTGGACCAACTTACTGGTCTTGCATGTTCAGCAAGCTTGATTTGAAGAGTGAGTACCACCAAATTCGGATCAGACCCGAGGATGAGTGGAAAAGAGCATTTAAGACGAGGGAAAGATTGTACGAGTGGTTAGTCATGACTTTCAGCCTTTCCAGTGTGCCTAGTACGTTTATGCATGTCATGAATCAAGCTCTTTTCCTATTCATTGGTAAATTTTTTGTCGTTTACTTTGATGATATTTTGATTTGTAGTGCTAACGATGATGATCATGTCCAACACCTTCGGGAAGTTCTTTCAGTCCTTCGCATGGATCACTTTTAGGCTGTAGTGAAAAGGTGTGCGTTACTGACTGATCGTGTTGTATTTCTGGGTTATGTGGTGTCGAATGAAGGGTTAGCAGTGAACACATCGAAAGTAGAGGCCATAAGTAAGTAGTCATTGCCTAAAACTGTTACAGAAGTGCGTAGTTTTCATGGTCTTGCTTCATNCTGTTACAGAAGTGCGTAGTTTTCATGGTCTTGCTTCATTTTATCGCGGGTTTATACCACATTTCAGTAGTATCATGGCACTAATTACAGATTGTATGAAGGATAGTAAGTTTTAATGGACTCCCAAGGCAGATGCATCTTTTCGATTGATTAAGCAGAAGTTGACTACTGCCTTAGTTTTGGTGCTGCCTGACTTTACCCAGTCGTTTGAGCTGCATTGTGATGCTTCGAAGGTCGGTATTGGTGGTGTACTGAGTCTGAACAACCGCTCCGCTGCATATTTTAGTGAGAAGCTTTCTAGCCCAAAGACTCGGTACAGTATTTATGATGTGGAGTTCTATGCAATAGACCAGGCAGTTCGACATTGACATCACTATCTATTCCAGAAAAAGTTCATTTTGTATACTGATCATGATGCCCTCAACCATCTTGGTACTCGAGATAAGGTATTTGCTCGATATGCCTTTTGGATTGCTTATTTGCAGTAGTTTACTTTCATGATTAAGCACAAAGCAGGCGTCCTTAACCAGGTGGCAGATGCATTGAGTCAACCCAAACCCTCAGTGGAGGTTCTCGATTTTGAGTCTTTGTGATTTATATGCTACTGATCCATATTTTTCTCATGTTATTCGAAAGTTGCAAGAAGGTGTGTAGGCGGAGCTTGCATGGGTTGATGGTTTCCTTTTTTGTGGCAATCAGTTATGTATTCCAGAGGCAGTTTGATGTTGAAGATTGTTCAAGAATTGCACAATGAAAGCCATGTGCGTCGTGACAGAACATTGCAGCTTGTTTCTGCTTCTTACTTTTGGCCATCATTACGTAAGGATGTCGGTAAG